ATTGCTCTATTTGTTTTCCCTTGTCCCTATTTCCCCATTTTGCCTTAAACACTCAATTTGTCTTTATGATCATGCAGTTCAAAATGCAAATTCGTATAAAATTTCTCCTGGGTGTAAGATGTTGATTAGCAGTTTACATCTCAGAAAAAAAAATCAATGAGCACAAGTGACATGATGAGGAAGGGAATGAGTGAGGAAGGATTTCAGTATGTGGGCCAGAGAAGCAAAGGAAGCCTGTAAGACAGAGAAGGGATATCCTGCCTCACCGCCACGCCACTCCTCCAACGTTTGCTCGCATCCGCAAACACGCAGACACAAGGAGGTCCACAGGACATAAAGAAGAACAAAACACTATGACACACAGCTACACATGGGACTACTTTAGTGACACACGCTCCGACCACAGCACATTGACATGATTATTAATGACCGGTTTACACACAAAACACATCCGGTTAATGCAGCGGTACGTGGTTTCCTCTGTTTGGATTGAACTGTATTCTTGAATAAGAAAGAAGACTTTTCTTTTGTTTTCATCCCAGGCAGTGACACATCTTTTGTCATTTCACTGACCCCCAAGGTTGAGTTTGATGAGTCACTGGCTTACTAATTTAAGCAATTCAACTTTCAGTAACAAAAGTGAGACTACATCACGTACTGTGGAGGCACACATGGTATTCTTGTAAAAACACCCAACTCTCGCTCTGGGCGGATGAGACACACTAATTATGAGTCACACACCAGCTGAGTAGTGATAAAAACATCAGCTGCTATGCAGAGAAAACTGTGACGAATGCACATTTGTGCCCTATATATTTATAAAAAGAAAAAAGGAGAAAATGTACTTTTTTATTCTTCTTTTGCCAAAGCCTCAGTGTTGACATTCTCAGCACACTTCCCAAGAGTGTCCCACAATGCTCTGCTACAGACAACAGTTGACTGGTTACACCATTGTGTGCATGCAGTGCAGATGGATATTTAAACATATTTAAGCTGTGTGTATTCAAGGTTTTTCCATAAACATGCAGATTTAAAGATCTAACTGAAAGTTGAAATGTATGGATCCGAAATCCATAGTGTATGCTTAAACTCTCACATGTGGATGTGTTTTGCCATAAGTTTTTATTTTTACAGAAAGATGCCTTTTCAAGTTTATTTCAGATTTTTTGTGTGTGTGTGTGTGTGTGTCCCACACAGTGATGTACACAAATGGATGACTTAATTTGCCTCCCAGGGTTGGGAGTCATCCCACAGGTCATAAAAGATACAGAGTGTGTAATCATTGACCCATTCCTCAATTCACCCATCTCCCTCCATTCTTTCCTCTTTCATCTCCTGCTCTATAATGCAGCTGTCCATTAAACGTTACATCCTATGTTATAAGGAAATGTCCCTGGGGGGAAGGGTTGCAGAGACAAGCAGAAGTGGAGATGAGAGGATGTAGAAGCTATGGTTCTTGTGGATAAATGCTGCAGTGGGGGAGCCTATCCTTTTTGCTTGATGTATTGACGCCCCATTTCTCCTCAGAGATCAGTTTTTCCAAGCATCAAGTGTGAAATAGAAAAAGATAAAAAAAAAAAACATAAATTCAGCCAGCAGCCTGAGTTAAGCCGATAATATTGATCCTTTACATATAAAATGTATTACAAGTTGCCAATATAAAGAACTTATATTACTTCCAGCTTTAGTCATGTAAAGTATCAAAGCAGTGGCACACACAGGACTGTACAATATCTGTTAGGAGACAAGCTCTTTTTGAGTACATTAGTTTATATTGCTAACAGCAGTTAGCACCATATTTAGCATACAGGGCCTGTGATATTCTAACTTGAATACACTCTCTTAAGCTTTATGCCATCCAATGATAAATGTGTGGCCTTGATGGAGAATGGTATCACTTTTATCGTTGCAGTAGTTATGACCCATAATGTGAGACTGCCTTACACATTTGTTTAACTTCTGTATGTGTTTACAGTTTGGCTTTACTGAAGCTTGTTGGTAGACATGCTGAAAGGTCAAAGCTTGGGTGAAACAAGAGTCAGGAATTACATTAAAAAAATAAACAGGGATGTTGAAGATAATCTTATCAATTCTTATATCTGATCATCTCCAGAAAGCTACTAAACCACTCATCACTGTCCAATGCTCACACGGCATATGTCTGCCTCTGATTGGATTGGCCAAAGAGGATTATGAACTGCCCTAGAGTAGAAGCTGTCGTGGATCATTGAAGTGCAGGCGCATTAAGAGCATGCCACAAAAATGCATGAACTACAAGATCATACTATTTTCTATGCCTACATAGATCTATCACAGATTTTTTTTAATGTCATGATCAATTTCCTCCTTATTCATAACAGCAAACTGAATATTAAAAAAAAAAAAAACTAAAAACGAGCACCATAGTTTCTGAGACTGTCTGCTTTGGCCTGTGTTTTTAAGATGCATACTGACAGACCTTTAGAGTGTCCGTGGGGATGTTTGGATTTTCCCCTCGCTGGGAGATGAAAAATGATACCGAGTCCACATCACATTTATCTTTTCAAACACCATCTGTGTGCTGCAACAAAGAGCCACATCAGCTCACATACACACTCATACAGCGGTACAAACGTCCCCGGGAATACACTGCTCCAGAGACGGCCGAGGTCAGAAGGTCTGCACTCAAATTGAAAGAGCACATGGTGCCACAACCATATTAAATGTTTGCATCTTCATTAAAGTCTCAGATAGAGAAGATTATCATGTTACCCCTAATGTAAATTTAATCATATAAAAAAAAAATGAACATCTGAGGAAAGTGACATATTCAGCAGGTACAGCCATTTAAAAGGAAACATTGAACTATACGTTTGTTTTACAGCACACTTGGGCTGTTTTCCACTTTAAGCAAAATCATCGCTCCACCAACCCACCATCCCTTAGTATATTTCTTTCTCCATCCCTCATCCAACACACTTTCCAAAAGTCTTCACTCTCTAAACTATTTCTCTCCCTTCCTCCACAATCTAAATTACAGGGATTAAGATGTCAGTCCACCCTCCATATAAATGCAGCTCCAGAGAACTAACACTTCAGTTCTGTTTCTAACTCCTGCTAGGGACCAATTACAAGCACATAATTGAGACTCAAAGACGGTGACTGTCCCAAAAGCTCCAACTGTTCTCCCAACTAGATGGTGCAAACCTCAATGAAGGTTTTTACATGTCATAACTGCCATGAGTGTGAGTTTGGCAGCAAGTGTTACACTGACAGGATTTACGAAGTTTAAATTGTCTATACAATAATACTGTGAATTCTAGTAAATTGTGTTTGGATATTAGAAAAGATTATTAAAAACAAAATCTATGTTAAAAGGAAAAATAAAGCTAAGCTGCAAAAATAAAAATTTCTCTTCTCTATTGACATTAACTTTTATCAATATCGCTGATTTGATTTTCTGCATATTGTTCATTACAAAGTATTTTTTAGAGAAAATGAAGAATTTTTATGGGAAAAGCTGATTACATGTCTAACACAAGAAAAGCTAAGGAACATAACGTGTTATTTTGTTCTAACATGAAACAAACCCAAGTATCTCATTGAAATATTTTATAAAAGAATATTGATAGCTGTGCAATTTGAGAACCAGAAGAGTAAAAGGCAGATTATTTAGTAATTGTTGATTCAAATATGTGTTAGAATGATTGAAAATAATTATTTATTTATTATAATGAGATATCATATTAGTTTAGTACTAATTAGATTTTAAATTTGTATATCCACCCATCCATCCATCCATCCATCCATTGAACCGTCCATCTGTCCACCCATCAATCCATCCATCCGTCCGTTCGTCTGTCCATCCATCCATCATTGTAGATCACACCGCCTTTCTAACTAAACAGTGTTTCCTATTATCTAAAACAATTATGCTCATTTTCCTCCAACCACTGAGATCAACACAGCCCCCGCTCACTGAATACTTTTCTGTGTTTAAGGTGATTCTTGGTAAACAAGAGTAGTAGTAGTATAGTAGTATATAAACTGCTCAGACCATACCAACTGACAGTGACCATAAAGAAATCATTTAAATCATCTTTATTTTTTATTCTGATGTCCAGTTTCAACTACATTCACTTCATTATGACTCGATGGCTAAATAAGTTGAGTCACCATATGTCTGGCCTTGCCGACAGATAAAACCAATGTATTCAATTAATTTGTTGATGACTTTTGTGTGCATTTAAATGTTGCTCTTATCATTTACTTCTCTTTCCCTAAAACCAGGTACTAGATATAAAAAACTCCTTTGCTTTACACACTACTTACAGTATTACAGATTTTTTTTTTCCTTTAACATAACATTAATGGCCTGGAATTCTAAGCATAGAAATGTAAAATAGCCTGTCTACTGCTGTTTGACAAACTCAACATCAACAGCAATGATTCATCTCCAGCATGTCTGTGATGAGGTTAAATCCAATAAGTATGTCCTTCTCTGACATTAGAAATCCAATGACTGGATCTGTGGTCACAAACAGTTACTCAAAAGGCATGAAAGCAAAGCAGAGGGATTTTTTAGGTCAAAACAGTTATATGAGATAGTGGAAGAGAGTGAACATCATGCAGGAAGTACAGCTGATATTTATGTACTTATAATACTGCCTGGCAATCTGTTTTGAAGAGCTTTGTTCCCTTTCAGTATTGATGCAGATTACCACCACTGCACCTTATTTTAACCGTCTATCCCTCTATTCTAAAGAAGCATAAAACTGCCACATGACCCAAAACTGTTATGGAGCTGGAACTCGATATAATGATTTTATCTCATGTATATAAAATTCATTTCTTTTAATATTAAAAAAAAAATTTTTGTTCTCACAATACTTTTTCTTAACTAGGAAACCATCTTCGTACCTTGTTACTGACTAAGCAGACAGCAGATTTAATATTTGTTCAGCAAAGGCTTCAAAAACAGTCAAAATATGAATTTATTCTGGATTAATAAGGTATCTAACCTCCTGTTAGGTCGTCGCAGCAGACTTCAATAGATCCAGACGAACAGTCACTTAGTTCCTCCAGAGAGAAATCATTCTCCTGTATTCTTAGCCTGCCAAAAACATAACAGTTGAAAATTTCTGTTACTTGACATAGAAATACAGTTACAACTGTTGATCACATGCAAATATCCAAGTTTGTGTTTACCCATTTCAACTTTGTCAGAAGCCATGTAGAGGATTCATGGCTAGATGCAAAACTATGTTTGGAAAACCCTGATGCATAAAAGCTTAAGTATCCTTTTATCATCTCTTCTCCTAAACAAGTAAAATAAATGCACCAGGGAGCATTATCACAGATCCTTCCTCCCAGCAGCTGTAAGACTTTTTAACCCTCCCTGTTCTCAACAACCTCAATAAGTTGTTAAATCAATGCTGATTTTGCAGTTTCTACCTTAGTCAGATAAATAACATGCTGCTGTCATTTTGCACATCTCTGAAGTTGCTGTGACTTTTTCAATTATCGTTTACTGTAAAAATGTCCATAGCAATATATTGGTTATTTATTCTCCAGGTGCACAGTATTTATATAGTTAAAACACTTTACAGTACACCCTTTCCTTTGTTTATTTTTTAACACCTCACTATTATGTTTATCTTACACACTCTAAGGTCCAAATTTGTGTGACTATTTTTTTTTTCTATAATCTTATTGCTGCTTTAAACACAATAATTTTCCAATTGTGGGACAACAGAGGGATTTTCTATTCTATTTTATAACTAGATTCCTTCATTAACAGGCCATTTTACTTTTGAGAGGCCGGGTTTGTGACATTTTCATTTGATTTAGATTTTGTGATGGGGATTAGGTCCATCTAAGTATAACAGGTGGTACCTCTCTTCATGTCTGAACTAAAGATGCTCTCCTTGCAAACCTTTTGAGTTAAAGCTACTTCTTAAAAAGTTTAGTACAATTACAAGGAGGTCAGAGGTTTTCACAGATTCATAGTTTCATTTACCTGTGACTGAATGGAGCCACAGCCACCATGTTGACTCTGGTTATGTGTGTGTCTGTAGACTCTTTGGGCAGGTGGGGTTGCTGTTCATAAACACGGGATATTGCTGCCTTTGTGAATGTGATGAGTGGAAGAGGAAGAGGATCAGGGGAAGAGGCTGCGCTGCTTTCTTCAGGAGTCCCCATCTCCTCGTCAGACTGGCTTGTGGAGCCGCTGTGACCTCTCAAAGTGTGTTTGCAGCCTGACTGAGCAGGACCTGGTTGAATGTTCCTGTTTTTTCCAATGCTGGACTCGACTGGCTTTTCAGCGGAAATCCCTCCCCTTGTTGACATGTTTTGACTCACTTCCTGAGTTGTGTTGGAGTTTTCGCCTCCTCTGAAGCGGAAAGGTGGATGCAGGTGGTTGGCTTGGTTCTTATTAATGATTGCACTTCTGTTATGATTCCCATCATGCACTGGCTGTGAATGGACATGACCTAGTTTTTGAAGATCCAACGAGTCTTTGGAGTGTGGTGATGGGGCTCTGCGCTGGACCACCGGGCTGCTGTAAGCCGAATGTGACGTGTGAGTCCGCTGGTAGAGCTGATTTTTTAGGCCTCTCTCTTTCTGGTGTTCCCGCGAGGAAAGCCCAGGTATGCTGGTGTTCCGTGGGCGAAGTGATGGAGAGTGGGTGGGTGTATGCGTAGGGGTATGTTGAGGGGTCAGTGTTGAGGGCCTATGCAAATCACGAGTTTGGCGACGTGGATCTGTTTTCGGAGAATTGGGCACAAGGCTGCGGGGGAGAGGAATTCCTGATGAGGAAGGCCCACGGTGGGCTGACTTCACATTGACTCCCCCACTCATTCTGCCCTGAAGAGATGGAGAAAGAGATCAAATAAGCAGTGAAGGAAGGCCTCCACTATAAACCATCATCCTTCTAGAAAGGTTACGTTACACATTAGCAAGTAACTGCACTTCGTTAATCTTTACGAGAGAACAAGCGGATCAAATTAATCTAACGAGAAAACAACATACTGTAGCACAATTTTCACACTCTTTGTTTTTTGCATCTTAAAAACACTTCAATGTGCTTATAAATGCAAAGAAATCATGCTAACTTTTCCAAAACCTTCTGTTTCCTTTACAAAAACTGAGCTGGTTACTTATTAATAATGTGCCCCTCATACATATATAGTGTGATCGCAATGCAGTGAAGTGTTTCACACAGGACTATTTTGAATGTGTATGCCCTTGAAACAATCAGTAGATAACTAGTAGTGTAGCAGATATAAAGATTGGAATATGGAAAAAAAATCTGTGATAAAAGGTTTTCAAAAGAATCTTTTAAAAGAATGCATCAAACATTTTTATATCTTAAATGTTTTAGATTAAAAGCAGTAGACTAGACTGGATGGTCCAACAAATGAATGAGCTAAAGGGCATTCAGTCAATTTGAGATTACATAAATAGAGCTGCTATAGAGACAAAAGAATATTGATTTGGCCTCATCTGATCCTGGAGCATTTGACCTCAAGGGACCAATAATTTTGGATGGACGGACAGACAGCTAGATAGACAGACAGACATTTTACTGCACTGACAAATCAGGGACAGCAACAACAAAAAAATACTATATTCTAAATTTTAATAAAAACTAATTAAAAAAAAAAATCTCATTTAAAACGGATACCCAGAAAAAGAAGTGGGATTCTGGGTTATTTTTAGTCATCCTTTATCATTGGAAACTAATGCTTATGACATCATCTGCAATGCAGCAGAAGGTAACCAGAGACAGATGTGCCTATCCATCCTCATTTTGAAATTTATCCTGATTCCCACATAAACTCATATTTGTTTCTCTCCATCTCTTCCCTCTTTACTTTTTCTCTTGGGAGGTGCATGACACTAACAGGCAAAAGAATTTCTCCCAATCTAATAGAAGTCCAACAACGGTTTCCAAGTGCACAGGTGCAGTCTAGCTCTGTGTCTATCTGTATGGAAATTGGCTTACCCTTGGGGATATGCTGGGGTCATACTGGTACAACAGCAATCTAACATAAAGTAATGATGCTCAGCTGCTGATAGTAAATCAACTGTACACTTGTGTGTGTCCAAGAGAAGGAGAAAGAGAGGATAGGATAGAGACAAATGGGACAATAAAAGATATTAAGGAAAACTTTGTTTGCATTATTATACTGCTTAAAAAAAACTCACTTTGATGGTCTACTTATCGTTTTCAGACTGAAAAAATACCTTAACATCTTTAAACATTTTTTTGTTATCTGCTTGTGAATATAACAGTGAAAATATGCTTGAAAATATGAGAACTGCTGACCATGTCATGAAATAGAATCAAACTTCCACATGCATTAAACTGTTGCTGACCTGGAGAGCTCCTTTAGAGACAGACTGCTGCACCCTAAATGCACCAAGGAGCGTTATCACAGATCCTTCCTCCCAGCAACTGTACGAATTTATAACCACCAATCTTCCCAACAAACTCAATAAGTTATTACATTCATGCTGATTTTTTGCACAGTTCCTGTCTTAGTCTTTTACCTTTTTGCTTTCATCATGCACATCTCTGGCGTTGCTGCTATTTTTCACATATCACCTACTGTAAAAATGTCCCCAACTGCATATTGATAATTCATTCTTCAGATGACTGCACAGTATTCTAATAAGGCTGTACTGTACAGTATTTCTTTTTTTTTTTTTTTTTTTTTTGACTCTGCCACTTATTCTGTTATTGTTATACAATTTTAAGTTCCACATTTGTGTGACTCCTTTTGCTGTAATGCTTTTGCTTCTGCAGTAACACCACAATTTCCCCATTGTGGGACAATAAAGGGATTTTCTGTTCTATTTTTCTATTCTAAATTAAGGGGGAATCTAAAAGAGAACTCCAGCACCTATTACTCATATTTTTTTTACAAGGAAATAATAAAAAAATAGTATGTTAAACACAATTCATACATATTTAAATAATATGCTGTAAATAGAAATAGCTACATGCTTTCAGTTTTATGTTCGTTTCTAAATTTCTTTTCTGCTCATCACTATAGAATAGTTTACATTTGAGCATGAACTCTAAGTCAGTTGATATGCGCACTGATTTTCTCCATACCCCTACTTTTACTTTATTTTGAATTTTGTTATTCACCTAACCTTTAAGAAAACTATTGAGTTTATTTATCTTTATATATATTTAAGCAAACTAATGAGTGGGATAAGAATTGGGCTTTTTCTGATAAATGTCCTTATTTTCCAGTAGAAATATGTACTTGTAAGTAAGTAAGTAAGTAAGTAAGTAAAATGTTTCTATGGCTGTTTTCTCTTATTGTTCTTTGCTATCTTTTGAACATGGCAGAGCTAAAAGAGCACCTGACCTCTGCAGTCCAATTCTCTCCAGTGTTAACACAGAAAAAAAATGTCATATTACTTTTTTTGCCGCTCAGTAAACAGTCATGCCTGAACTAAATCATTGGGATCTTTTCTCTCCTCCATATCTGCCAATCTTTGACAGAGCCTGGGGTCCTTTGCCACTGCACCGCCGTTTCTTCCCTACCCTCTCTGTCTGCCAGTCTAAGCCTGTTTGATCTTCATTTAGTCCTCATCATCAACATTCATAATTATGTTGAGAAATGTTGGTGGATAAATTTCATTCAAAGCTCTCTGAGTTTAAAATGTTTACTTTTTTCAGCTATATGTTAGACATATTTAAAAGCTGAAGGGGAGTGTTGGCCTAGTGGTTAGAGCAGTGCGCTTTTGCTCTGAGACCAAGTGCCCGGTTCGATCCCCACAGCGTGCACTCTGGGTTCCTGAGCAAGTCCCTGAACCCCAAACTAATCACTAGGCGCCACATAATGGTAGCCCACTGCCTCCAAAGGGGATCGGTCAACTGCAGAGGTGAATTTCTTCAGTGTGATATTAATAAAGTTCAGTTATGATTTTTAGCTTAGAGTCCAGCTCCCAGAGCTCTTCTAAAAACTTCAAACATCCTGCTGAACCTAAAGATCACTTCCTGTCATTAATGCTCTAAAGTTTCATGTAAATCAGGATAAATCAAAGCAAGCACTGCAAACAAAATATATTTAGGTTTATACTGTAGCTCTGACTCAAGTTTATGATTGTATCTTCTACAGGAACTTATACTGAAGAACCCTTTTTCTTTCTGCCTGGAGGATGCTGACATCTGCTGACCATAATGTGCAACTACAAAATTAAGAACTATTTGCCTTACTATTAAACTGTTTTCAGTTATACCTCAGAAATACATATTAGCAGTTACCTACCTACATGTAAATCTAAGACATTGCTTTAATAAAGAGCAGCATTATATTTTATTTATCATTACCAGAATAATAACAGATATTATCTATCTAGATTTTTACTTTGTTGAAAGCTGCAGAAATGTTTCATAATTTTCTTTTCTGCAATGCCAGTGACCTCTAAAAAAAGAAACCGCAAGTTTGATCAAAGAGACATATATACCCTCCCAGGGAACACATGCTCTCTCTTGTGATGCACACCCTCTGACTCATCTTAAAATCAATACATGAGGTGGAAACACAGCCCTCTCTGTCTGAATCAAAGCACATTTTCAGTCTCTTTTTGTAGGTCCGTGTCAGAAAGTCTGGACACTGCAAGAGGTGTTACTGTTGGTATATCAACAAACTGGTGAGTGAAACATTAACTTAAAGATCAGAGTGAGTGAATACAGTGAAACCCACTGAATCCAGTAAAATCTGAGCAAAGAAAATCCTGAAAATGTGTTCCTCTTGAGGAAAAAGTGAGCACACATTAAGAGCAACACTGTCTAAAGCCAATAAATTCCCTGTGATGAAATTAGGGAAATTTAGAGTCTCACATGTGTACCTTGCTTGTCAATGGGATTCCCAGTTCTTCGTTGTGCCGTAGGGCCGAGTAGGAAGACAGCCAGCAAGTGGAGGGACGTCACACTTCTTCAGCTTCCCAGGAACAATGGTGTGTTTTTTCCTGGATCACGGTTGCATCCTCGATGCTGTGCTCTCATTGGTTCACAATTCCTCAACATTCCTCAAACACAGGAAGCTGTGACAAACAGGAATGACAAATCCATCTAATCAGGGGCTAACACACCATGATGACTCATTCTCAAAGTTACTTTTGTGTCCAAAAATCATCTACTCAGCTGGCATGAAACAACTTTCATTTAAGGGTTGAAAAAAAAAAAATGGAACAATGAGCAGAGGTCTGTTTATGTGATCAAGCGTCAGTGACCCAAATGGAAATTCATTTGGGAAACAATTGACCTCGATGACACATATTCTGTCATATCGACTTAAGGCAGCATAATTATATATTAGTCATTAAAACTTTGTTTTTTAAGATAATGATATCAAGTATAGAAATGCAGCAAAGGTTTTATTGCACTTTTTACACACTCAAATGCAGAGCACAATAACACTAAAAGAAGATTAAAAAAAAATATATGGTCCTTATTTATTCATGAAACTACAATTAATGCTTTAAAAATCTAAAAGTGGTTCTCTATTCAGTCGTTATGTTGACTTATCTTACAGGTTTTCTTTTACTTTTTGTGAACAACGAATAACCAGATTCTACAAAAAAACATCTAACCTGTAAAACAGTCCATTCATTATATACTGCCAGATTTGGGTTGTGACCATAATTACATACAGTGTTTTTAGTATGCCCCCTCCTCACTGATTGTTGATGTATATAAGTAGCAGAATACTGACTTGTTTGGGTGTCAGCCATAGCTAAACTTATTTAGTCCTCCTGGCATCCCTCAGGCACTGGTGCCCTGGGCAGTTAGCTATGTCCTTCATATCAAACCCCCTGCTGCTTATCAAGAGTATCTTATGCCACCGTATGCATACAGTACAAAGTGTGCAGAACTGAGTCATAGGGACCCTATAATGCTGACTCAAGCTGACCATGTCACCCCTGGTCACAAAAAAGTCCACTTCTTTTCTTCCAACCAAGCACTGCTTTCTCCCTTCTGTTTCTCTTTACCCCTGACAGTTACACCACTTTAATTACCTTCATCCTGTAAGAGAAAACTTGTAATTATCTCTGCTTACACTGTCGGCAAACCAGACAAACCACAGGTATTCAAAATTTGTTATAGAATTTCTAAGATGTACAGTATAAGTAAAATAAAAAACAAGGCTGTACTTACCCTCTCCCACTCTTCTGGTGTCTGGCTTAGTCTCAGTCTGTCTACTTTTGTGAGGCTGCTCTGCATACATGTGTGTTTGTGTCTGTAATCTCACCTTCTATCACGTCATGCCGCTCTGCTGCTGCCGCAGTACGCCTGCAGCCATGTCCCCGCCTCTCTTTCTCTCTCATCATTACAACATCTGTCTCCCTCTCTTTCTCTGTCTGAGTAATGGTCCTTTTGGCTGGGGTCCCTCCCCTCTCAGCGGTGAAATATAAGCCCAGCTAGCAAAGACACACTGGTGCATTAGCTGGATGAGTGTGTTAGTTTGTGTGTGTGTGTGTCTATGTGTGTGTTTCAACCTCAATAGTGTGAGTAGCACATGATAATTAAAGCAAATGTGAAAAGCCTGACCCCAATCATCAGATTTTCATGATCTAATTGCCGAGAAGGGAAAAAGGGAAGAAAGGACTTATACAAACTGGGTTAAAAAGGCATCTGCTGATGCAGGCTCACAATTATGCTTAGACACCTGATGTCTCTATGCACTAAACTAAAGGAGAGGGACAGTCTTTCCATCCATCACTCCTTTAATTTGTCCCACTCCCCTAATGAAAAACAAGGCACATATGAAAAAAATAAGACGCAAAACAAAGAGGATAAGAGAAGAGATATGAACAGAAAAAAATATTGAAACCTCGCAATCATTAAGCAAACAACGGTTGCTGTGATTCTCACAGGAAAATATTATTTTCTCGCGGTAAATACACAAAAAGATACAACTAAGGAACATAAAATGATCAAATTACTTTAATTTATAAGGAATAAGCAATTGTTTTTTTCTAGGTTGATTACTGCAGCCATTATAATTGTACATATAACATTTATTAATTGATTTTCTGACTACTTTAATGCAAAGGTCTAATAACAAATATAGAACCATGGTGTTGAGCTCTTTAAGGGCTTAGCCTGCCACTCTGTCCTTACATGAGAAACTTAGCTCCGCTAAATGTTACACTCAGTGAAAGTTTTCTCTAAAGCCTCCCTGGGGTTGATAATGTGTTTGTTTTCATATTATCTTCAGAGGATGAGAAAAAGGACAAGACTGAATAGAATGTGCTAAATATTAACAGAGTTTTTGTATCCTTGTTGTCACTGAGAGATAAATTCTGGGAAAACAACCATTTTCTCCTTGCTGTATATCTTTAAAACACACTTTGTTGTTGTTTTTCCTCTTCTGTTTATGAACTTTTTTGTTATCTGCTATGTGTTTGGCCCCTTGGAGTAAAATAGCACTGTACTGGCAGTGGGCAGCAAAAAGCGAGGCAGTTGCAGCACTATTCAGCTCCATATGGTCTGAGGAAACTATTTTCATTAAAATGGTTAATGACAAATGTTTGGGGTTTATTTTATTAAAAAAATCCTTCATTTCAATCTGAGTTCAGCTTCACGATGGTAACAGACTCATACCACCATCCAAATGGCTAGATAGTATAGCTGAAAACTGCTATTATAAATGCCCGTGTAGCAGCTCCTCTCAAACTCTCTGATCCCCTCACTGGACAAGGAAACGGCTCTTAGATCTTTTTGCGATGCATTGCGGTGTAGCCAATGCATCCCATTCAGAAAAAAAAGATACTTTTCATAAGCTAATTCTACTACCCTTTTAAATTACATCTTTGTAGTTACAACTCCTACGAAAAACCAGTTATTTTGTATTTGTCTTTTCTTGTGGCATATTTCCTCCCTTCAATTATAGCTCTGTGCAAAGCCAGCTTTGTGTTTTGCTCTGTGTCTCCATCTCTCGCTGCCTATTTACGACTGGATTGTCTCCCGTCTCATATTTCTGCCATCCTGGCTTTGGTTTTGCATACAGACCGTTGGGCCCATGAAGCATATTTAATGACAGCTATGATACCCAGCAGAATCAGTCTATTACAACCGCCCTTTGCAAAATACACATTCATAACATTTGTTTTCGTTTTTTAAAGATTTTAACCCATTTCTGATGACTGTTTGTGTTTGTTGGCTCAACCTTCTTTGTCCAGTCTTTAAGCTCTCTAACTGATCACATATTGATCAGGCTTTAACTTGGTCTTTGTGTCTCCAACAGAGAGACACATGCATAATGGAGTGTCTGCTCAGTGAGACTCCATTATGCAAATAAAAACAAAGCTGCTGAACCAGGCATGGTGGAGCAATTCTTCCTTAAAACACAATATGTTCCCGGCAATACACAACCCCTCCCCCAGCATGCATACTGTACAACACACATGACCTCCTCATCCCCCTATGCTTCTCCATACTGGAAAAAAATCCAAATTCAGATAAGTCATTTTTTTTCTTAAGATGAGTGCATTTGTTCTTGGACTGAGCAGGTAAAAGATACATTTTGCCAATGGAACAAGACAATTTAGATTTAAAATAAGAAAACACAATTGAATTGTCTTATTTTAAGTGCATTTTATCTAAATATCTTATTTTAAGAGTAAAAATACTAATTCCATTGGCAAACTATCTCATTTACCTACTCAAATTAAGGGTAAATACACTTAATTTAGGCATTTTCTGCTTATTTCTAGATCGTTTTTCCAGTGATACTGTAAACAAGAGATGCTGTACTATTAATATTTGGCACATTACTCACCTATCAATCCTAACATTAAACCCAGGGTGACTCCTCTGTTTTCTTCAGTTATAAACAGATAAATAAAAACTGTAAAACTTCTGCAACCATAAAATCAACAAAAAATCCCACATGATCTGTTGCTTTGTTCCTGTGTTTCAGAAAAATGGGAAGTGACTTGTAACAGAGGATTATGGGAAGTGGTGTGTAAGTGTGTGCAGTGAGTGTGTGGTTTAAGTAGGGTTGTGTGGGTTTGAAGGGGTAATGACATAGCTAATCTTCAGATGTCCCCTGAGGCATGTCCCCTCTCTAGAGACAGTCGTTGTTTTAACAAAGGGACACTTGTGTCCCGGTCACAGAGGGGCAGACTCAGGGGAGATTTGGGTTTACGCTTGTTGTCTGAAGCTACAAGTGTAGCCTAAATAAAATCTCTGCATTCGTGTTGGATCAACACACTAAAGTTACAAACATAGCTGGTTAATCAATGTCAAATTTAAAGGCACTCTGAGATAATTTAGACCTTTTTTATGAGCTTATCTCTCTAGTATAATGGCTCTGTCTTGTTTATGAGTTAGTCTCTAACTTTGTTTGACAGTATTGTTACCACTGGATGGTGACACTATACCACATCCTGTTTTAAACTGTATCCGATGTGTAAAACAGGCTTCACACAAACAAGTTGTAAATCAAGTAGCCAGTAAAATACATCAGCCACAGACAAGATAAATCATATGAATAAGGTTATTAGTGGGTTTATCTAAAGTGTTAGATTTTGTGCTTTACAAAATTGAAATCCAGCTCTTCAAAATAAGATATGAACAAAGTTACATCTTTTTCTAATTTAAAAATTAGGTCTGGATTGTAAATCAGATCAAATTCAAATTCAAAGCTGTTTCTTTTGCAGTTTTTGAAAAAGCCCTTAAAAATTTGAGCTTTTTGTGCAATAGTGTAATATCATTGACTGAATTATATTTTAATGGGGAGAGGCAAGTGTACATGTATGCAGATTAAAATAATCAGTAGCGCACATTTATTGGCACATTATTCCCAAAACAATAATGCTAATGAAGATATTGTCATAGTTTTTTTTTTTATTATTATTATTCTTTAGTTCAGCCTGGTATGAAAATCGAGGAACTTTTTATTTATAATAACTGACTTTAACGTTATTTCATGTCTTTTTTTTTTTTCTTTTTTTTTTAATCAAGAACATTTCCCTTCAATACATGCAAAAAGAGAACAACATATCCAAACTCTATCAATCCAAATCAAATAAATTCAAGCAGCTTCAAAATGATTAAATTCAGTTTATTTTTTTAAAGCCAATTCACAACACATATAATCTCAAATTTGCAGAGAAAATTTAATTAAATTACCTAATTAGATTGATTTCTATCTAAGAAAACCAGCTGATCCTATCGGGTTTTTGACCTACTAGACACACACTTCGCCTGGCTCTGTTGTGCTTAAATACAGCTTCATGTTTTTGAGATATAATATCCTGTTTGTTTACTGTCCTAAGTGATTTTTTTTTTAATGTGGTTATGTTTTGAGTAAACAGGGAACTAGAGAGTTTCACAGCACCCATTACCTCTAAATGTTTCAAGATCTGTCATCACTAAATGTCACCAGTAACTTAAAGCCATAACTTTTTCCTCAGGTTAAACAGCAGTGTAGCAATAAGCTTCCAGATAAGATGAACAAAAATCCCTTCATCCACATGCACAGTCCGTTTCTTCCAGTACTGATGATAAAATTAAACAATAAGGCCCATACAGTTTGAAAAACGAGGCGGCCGAATCTTTTTAAACAGAGATATCAAATCTGGATCCAGATCCACAAGAATTCAGACACTTTTCATGACAAACATATTCTAACCAAATGAACAAAACAAAAAAAACAAAAAAAAAAAGGGAGAAAAAAATATTCCAAAAGTTACATACCGTATATTAATCCTTTAATTCTCACAATGACCACATGAGGGCAGCAGAGACAAACTATTGCCATGCTTTTATTGCTGGTCCTTAGGGTTCTTGCTCAACCCACCACACCAATGTTTGGATATTTTTTCAACTTTTACACCATTTTTTAAGCCTTTTGAGAATAAAGTTAAAGTGTTGTAACATTTGGTTACCACAGCTGGTTCTTGACACTAAAAATTATTGCAAGATAATAAGAAGTTGGTAAAACAGTATATGTCATGCACTGTCCTTTCTACCAAGCGCTTTCTCTTTTCTTTAGCTGGGGTTATAATATCAACAGTATAATCAATGCTTTTTATGCCATTATTTACAGCTTGCCAATACTAACAATGAAATGTCAATATTTTTTGCAGATGATTTAATTAAAGTTTTGTATATTTCATTTTATTTACTGTCTGTGTTTTGTGTTTATTTTTAAATCTTAAATATAATATTTTCTTTTTGTATTCATCTGTTGTGAAATAAATGTTTCCAAATTGAATAAAACAGAAAAGTGATGATGTTTTATTTTATTTTATTTTGACAAGATGCTTCAGTGAGCTTCTCCTCATTCCTTCTCATCCATTAAGCATAGCAACCTTAGCCTCTAAATGTCACTTCATGTTGTGGTAATAAACTTGGAGGTACTTCAAAATGACATTGTTGATTCATCAGATTCTAAAGGTCAGTTTCCATACAGTCTCTTACAAATTAAGCATCTGTATTACAAATAATATCATACACACTATACAG